AATGCTGGGACCCTGTAGTACAGTTCCTCATGTGGCGGTGACCCTCCCAACCATAAAACTATTTGTGTTGCTACTTCATAACTGTAATTTTGCTGCTGTTATGAATCGTAATGTAAGTATCTGATATGCAGGATGTATTTTCACTGTTACAAATTGAACATAACCGCTGAATATAAAAAGACTGATCAGCATCCAGATTAAGTTCTCATGGTACAGATATATATACACACACACACACACACACACACACATATAGCAGTAGTTGATGATTTTACATTTACCCAGTAATTATAATTCATGTGTTTTACCTCCAATACTGCTGCTTTCAACACCGTAGCTGCTTTTAACAGAGTAACTGCTTTCAACACAGCAGCTGCTTTCTACACAGTAGCTGCTCTCTACACATGTGTGACTGGTCCACATAAGTACATTATGGGGCCAACACTGTCACATGCACCTGTATTTCCATGGGGTGTATGTGATGAGGTTGGCGCAATGATGTCATCATGCCGGGTACTCGTATGTGGGCCTATCTGCATGTGGGCAGACCTGCCTGGAGACAGATAGAGGAGCGGTGTCTCAGTTCCTAAGACCATCAGAAATATGTGTTTTCCAATGGTCTTAGGCGACCCCTGTGAAAGGGTGGTTCGACCCCCATGACCCACGGGTTGAGAACCGCTGCTATAGAGGCAGACACCTGCCATTGCTCTCCAGGCTCTCCCCTTTACCTGCCTAATAACCTGATACACTGGTATTTGGTTACTCCTCCAATGTACTCAGGACCTTTATAGTTAGGGTATAGCCCATTTTTTTATGTATATGATTTACCTGTAATTAGAGAGGCTTTCACGCATACACACACACACCCCAAGAGTATATAAGCCTCTGTTGGAAATATATTCTCTCTCTCTTCATGGACCTGGCTCCTGAAGTCTTGGTGGTTCAGAAAGTGAGCTCTTGCAGGCCTTATCTTGTCTATATCTCTTTAATTTCCCCCTTAATTACACAACCCCCCAACCTTGGACCCATTCAATTGTGGGGGCTGATGCCCCACATCATGTTTTCCTCACACTATTCTTAAGCAGAATATCCTATTCAAAGGTTTAGAGAAATTCTTGCGAAGATGTGTATCTCTGAAGACATTATTTTTGTAAATGGAACTCACAACCAAGGAGGTTCTCTTTGGAATGTTCATCATCATTGTATTTTAATTTATTTTTCTTACAAATGAAATTAAAATAGCAAATACCTGAATCATTGGCAAATGGTATAAAGGGAAAACTTGAATGAGGAGCCCAGTATTTGAAGACGACTTCAGATCTCTGAGAAATTTGAAATGGAGCCAGTCTGTGACTGCAACCCACACTCAGAGAGTCAGCAGAGAGAGGCAGTCGGAATGATGAATCTTCTGAAACTTGCTGCCACATAACTTCATTTAGAGAGTGAGTTGCTCTAACATCAGACTCAAGGTTAGGTTGGCATGTTTTGGCCAAGCAATTTCCTACATGATGTTTTTAGGAAGAATCATCCTTACTTTAGGTCCTGAACCTTCTGAGGCAACACTGTCAGGTAGATATTGCTCACCAGTTTCACTTCCTAGTGATCTTACAATGCGCCATAACTCACGTTTCCAAAAATGTGGGAAAGGCACCAACACTCCCAGTCAGTGACAAAACAGACACATTTGCGGGCATTTCAAAGGCCACTCCTATAAACCAGGCACTACCAGTACAGCAGTATGTGATGGCCCACCAGATTCACAGGCCCATCGCTTACGCATGCAAGGGTTAACATTTTTAAAGAGCTCCTCTGTGTTTTGTATTCTCTTGGTCTATTTCTTGGTCCCTAAAAAAAAAAAAATCAATAGAAAGAGCAAAAAAACAGATGGCTTTCTCTCCTGTGAAGCCTGTAGAACAATTCTTAGACAATATTGGATGCTTTCATCCCACAAAAGTCATCCTTAACAGTCAGCAGCATCCCTAGGTGCGCTCACTGAATTTAAATGCAGAAATATCAATCCCAGCTATCTAAAAATTGCGCACCAAATCTCATTCTGTTGATTTTTATGTTAACTTTTCTTCAAGGGTTTTTTTAAAAAGGTTCCTTTTTTGAACTCTAGTTAATGATAGACACGCTGATACTGAGAGGAAACATACTGAAGTCTGTAAACTAAAGATCAGGAGATGGGCATATAATAAAATAACTATGGCATAATGGTAACAGTGGGTCCTGCATGGTGAAAATATCCATTTGGGCTCAAGATGATTCTTGAAATTTTGCTGGCTGTTTAAAAGTTTCCATTAAGCATTTAAGATAATCCTTTCAGTTTGTCATTATAGAATGGCACCATGGGTAAGCCCTTGTCTGCTAACCATAAGTTCTCTGTGGTTGGAAGGCACCCAGCTGCAGCATGAAAGAAAAGATCAGGCACCTGCTCCCATAAAGATTACAGCCTTGGCAATCACCTGGGGCAGTTCTGTGGGCTCAGCCTTCTAGGGACACTGTGAATTTGAATCAATGCAATAGCACACAGCAGCAAAAGAATCGAGCAACCAACGGGGAACATGGAAGTTCAATGGTCTGAATCCTGGAGTGCTAGACAGAGGGAAACAACCCCTGGTTCCAACTGAGAATTACCCCCAGCCCCCCTGCGTACACCGAGTAGAAGAGCTGTTTGTTCATCTGAATCCTTTTTCTTTTGTTTGTTTTTTTTACCTTCCGTAAGTCTGTGTGTTCATTAACTCCTTCATGTTTTCTTCGTCCTTTGAGTCTTGCCATTCTAACACTAATCTCCATCTTTCTCCCTAAGTTTTGTATCAGTGAGATAATTCACCAAGCCTGCGTCAGTCCCAGAGCACAAGGCCAGCTCCCCTTTCCACACAGATGGCAAGTTCTGAAGAGATCCCAGAAGAGTCAGTATCTTCCTGCTCAATAAAACTTCAGAGTCTAGCAGATCCCTTGTTATTCTATTGCTCCTTTTAGAGGCTACCTTTCCTTTGTAGAGAGCTAACCCAGACGCCCTTGGGGCTTTTTCTCTGCACCTTTATCCCTCCCTGCCCAGGCTTCTCTGCCTCTCTATGCTATTTGAGATCTCTCTTTGACTCTCTCCTGTCTGCCTGTCTCTTTCAGTCTTTGAATTAAGAGGGAAGAGATGTGTTTGCAAAATGAATGAATAGGGGAAAACAAAACAAAACAAAACCCTTTAGAGTGCCCACTTAAGAAGAACCCCCTGGGATAGGAATTTGCCCCTACCTGTCAGATCTTTCTGAGAGGTTCCTTTCAGTTTCTCTTTCTTGTCCTCCTTCCTCAAGAAGCTACTTGAGCCTCTGGAATTCCCTGGAGTGCCGAGAGGAGGCTCCAGGGTACAGTGACACATCAGCTTTCCCGGTGTTTAATACTCACTTGGGTGCCTGAAGGGGGGGGCAAGAGGAGGAGCCACGGCTGTGTTTCTGGTGAGGGAGGCACTGCTGGTGCTCACTCACACTTTAAATGCAAATGGTCGGTCACTGTAAACAGTGGTCTCAAAATAGAATCCACAACCTCACCAGACGCAGGTTTGCCAAAGCAACATGAAAAATAAAGGAATGTAAGTGAAACCAGGGTTTTTCAATTCTCATGAAAAATTTCTCAGAAGAAATAGCTACAATCTTCTCTAGATCCCAATGATCTGTTTCCGCCTCCATCTCAAATCTCTAGATTACACATACCTGAAGAAAAGGGACATTCATAGCCTCTCAATGGGCCCTAATAAAACATCTTGCACAGATTAGGTTTCAACATCAGCATGTATGGAAGATTGAATGGAGACTGGATGGTGGATGAATTAATGAATTGAATTCATACATCAATGGCCTTAACCCAGGCAAACTCAAGTATCTGCTTTCATCTTGGATACTCGAAACAAGCTCATATGAACCAGAGATGAGATCAGGATGAGGTCAAAGGAAATAGAAGTATTTATACGTAAGAATGCAAAAAAAAAAAAAGAAAAATAACATCAGAAGGGACTCTGAAACTTGCTTTTAGACATAGAGCATCTCAACCAAATGGAAGAAGTAATAAAGTAAAGACTGAACAGAATATTTTAAAGGGTGGCTTGAGAAGACAAAATATGAAAATTAAATGTGCACCAAAAACCCTGAAGTTAGAAAACCAAGAGGAAATGCAGACCACTCAGTCTTTCCTAAGACGAGAGAACTGGAGGGGAAATGAGGCCTTGAATTGCACTGCTGAATGAATCTTAGAGGCAAAATACTGAAAGGAGCGGGAAGGAGTACGTAGTTTCAACACCAAAAAGATTGGTAGATGTTCAGTCAAGTCAGGAGTTAGCGTGTGATCAAAAAGCAATAATATTAAAGGAAGAATTTCAAGCTATGGTAAAGATTGATAGAATACCAACTGAACTGTTTTAACAAATAGATGTAATAGATGTAATGCTGGAAGTATTCCCTTGTCTACAGCAAGGTATTTGGGGGACAACTACCTGGCCAACGGACTAGAAGAAATCCAGGTTTGTACCCATCCAAAAGAGAGTTGGTCAAGAGAATGCAGAAATTATTGAGCAATATCTTTAATATTACACAGAAGTAAAAATTTGCAGAACATAACTCAAAAACAGTTGCAGCAGTACATCAACAGGAAACTGCCAAATATTCAAGTTGGATTCAGAACAAGACACAGAACAAGAGATATGGTCAGCTTGCACTTTATTATTTCTCCCATTTGGTTTAAATGCTTTGTGTCATATGGATCTTGGCTGAAAGTAGAGAGTACCAGAAAGATGTTTAGATAGTCAATGAAGAGGATACTATTTCATTGACTATGCAAAGGCATTCAGCTATGTGGATCATGACAAACTATGGATAGCATTGCTAAGATTGGAACGTTGCGCATCAGGGCCCTGTGAGTTGTTCCATTGTGCTCATGCAGAACTATCCATAGACAAAGAGTTGGTGTGAACAAAATACCAAGGTACCGTATAGTTTGAACAAAATATTAAGATACCGTAGAGTCTAAAATCAGGAAAGATGTGTGTCAGGGTTGCATCCTTTCACCATACTTACTCAATCTGTATGCTGAGCAAATCATCTGAGAAGAGCCGGACTCTCGGAAGGACTGGGCATCCGAATTGAAGGGTTGCTCATGGAAAACCTGTGAGATGCAGACAGGACCTTGCTTGCTGAAAGTGAAAAGGATTTGAAACACTTATTGATGAATATCAAAGTCTTCAATGTGGATTGCCACTCAATGTATAGAAAACAAAAATCCTCACAGCTAAGCCCCAACGCAAGCAAATAAAATATTACAATTGTCAAAGATTACATTTTACTTGGATTCAAATCATTGCCCAAGGAAGCAACCATCAAAAAAACCAAGCAATGTCTTGTATTTGGCAAATCTGTATTTGCAAAAGACTTATTTAAAGTATCAAAAGGCAAAGGTGTGTCCCTTTGAGCCTTTCCCCAAACTGTGAGAGTTTCAGTTACCTCATATGCATGTGAAATTGCACAATGAATAAGAAAGACTGGAAAAAAAAATAAGAAAGACTGAGGCAAAATTAATCTCTTTCTATTATAATTTAGACAACGAATATTGGATGTACCATGGACTGCCAGAAGAACAAACAAATATATCTTAAACCAAGTCCAGCCGGGATGCTGCTTAGAAAGATGGCAAGAACATGTTATCAGGAGGGACCGGTCCCTGGAAAAGGGCATCATACTTGGTAAAATAGGGGGTCAGTAAAAAGAGAAAGACCCTGAATGAGATGGATGGCACAGGGGCTGCAGCAATGGGCTCAAACATCACAGCTACTGTGAGAATGGTGCAGGACCAGGCAGTGCTGTGTTCTGTTGTCACTCCGAGCAGGCAAGAACTCAAGGCACCTAATGACGACATTTCCTGATAGCAACTGTGAACACAGAAACATTCTATCATCCGTGCAGTAGAACTCATTTGTTACTGTTGTGAGGTGCCATCGAGCCACTTCCGACCCAAAGCGACCTTATGCACAGCAGAAAGAAGCACTGTCCCATTCTGCGCCCTCTTCACAGGTGTTTCTTTGCTTGAGGCCGTTGTTGCAGGCCCGGTGTCAATCCATCTCCTTGGGAGCCTTCCTCTTTTTTGCTGCCCCTTTGCTTCACTGAATGGTGTCCTTCTTCAGGGATTGGTCTCTCCAGACAACATAGCCAACGTGTCAAAGGAAATCTCGCCATCCCTGCATCTAAGGAGCGCTCTGGTTGTACTTCATCCAAGACAGGTTGGCTTGTCCTTTTAGCAAGCAGTCCATGGTACTTTCAATATTCTTTTCCAGCACCACAATTCAAATGCACTCATTCTTCTTCAGTCTTCTTTATTCAAGGTCAACTTTCAAATGCATATGAGGAAATGGAAAATAACTGTGGGTTGGGTCAGGGACACCTTAGTCCTCAAAGTAACAGCCTCGTTCGTCAACACTCTGCAGAGGTCTTGTGCAGCAGACTTACCTAAGGCAACTCGTCTTTGAATCTCTTGACTGCTGCTTCCATGAACATTGATTGTGGATCCAAGCGAGATGAAAACCTTGACAACTTCAACTTTTCCTCCAGTTATCAGGAAATTACCTACTCGTTCAATTGTGAGGATATGGGTCTTCATAACATTAAGTCATAATTCATGCTGAAAGCTGCAATACTTGATCCGTAGTAGCAAGTGCTTTGAGTCCTCCTCATTTTCAGCAACCGAGGTTGTGTCATTTGCATATTGCAGGTTGTTCATAAGCCTTCCTCCAATCCTGATGCCACATTCTTCTTCATATAAACCAGCTTCCCGGATGATTTACTCAGCATACAGATTGAGTAAGTACGGTAAGAGGATACCACCCAAACACACACCTTTCCTGATTTTAAACCAGGTGGTATTCTCCTCTTCTGTTCACCCAACTGCCTCTTGATCCGTGGACAAGTTCCACAAGGGCACAATCAAGTGTTCTGGAGTTCCCAGGCTTCTCAAGCCTATTCAGAGCTTATTATAATCCACGCAGTCAAATGCCTTGGAATACAATGTCAATGTCAATGAAATACAAATAAACATCTGATATTCTCTGCTTTCAGCCAAGATCCATCTGACATCACAAGGGATATCCGTGTCCTCTTCTGAATCCCGCATAAGCCTCTGGCAGCACCCTGTCATAGACCACCTTGTTGTCTGATCCTCAGCAAAATCTTAGAATTCATACTTCTCCACTTTCCCAGGGATGTTGAAATGGACAGACTATCTAAAGGAGATGAACTAGACTAGTTCACTGTTTACCAGTTGACCCTTGATTAGTTATGATGTGCTGACAGCCTGGGAAGAATTTTGTTCCACTCAGAAATACAGTCCCTTAGAATGCTGCTGAGAAGCAGCAAGTTCTCGTTAAATGTTTTGATTTTCTAAGGCAAGTGATCAATACATCATGTGTGAAATTTTTCAGCCCTGTTCAATTCAAACCTTATCACGGTAGCGATTTCTTCCAGTATTCTGTTTCTTCCTTCCTGTCGGGAAGACATGTTCTCCCCCGTGACTCATTCCCCCAATTCCATCTCCTCCCCCTCTTCCTGCCATGGAGTGGATGCTGACTCATAGCAACTCTGTAGGACACGGCAGCACTGCCTCAGTGAGTTTCCGAGACAATGACTGTTTACCGGAATCGAAAGCCCCGGCCTTCTCCCTGCTCTCCTTCCTCTCGTCTCCTTTATTTGCCTGAGACCTTCTGGAAGAAGAAGGCTTTAGTTCAGCGTGTTGAACTCTTAACTCTGACCCATGTAAGGAGTCTATTACTTCAGATCATCCATCACCTTTCTCTCCTCCATAACCTCCCCTTGACCTTCAAGCCATCTTCCTTGCTTCTAGAGAAACTGGTCATCTTAGTGTCGGTTCTCCCTGGCAGCAGAATCTGCAACAAGGACTTCCAAAACCCAAATCAAAAACTAAAACCCGTCACCACCGAGTCAATTCCAACTCATGACCTTATAGGACGGAGTCGAATGCCCCGTAATGTCTCCTAGGTTGTAATCTGTATGGAAGCAGATGCCACCTCTTTCTTCTGCAGAATGGCTGGTGGATTCAAACTGCTGAACTAACAGTTCACAGCAAAGCACTTTAACCAACACTGCTTTCTTTGACCAGGACTTGGGTAGGTAGGTGATTTATTTTAAAAAGTGATTCCAGGAAGCAGGATACTAAGAGAATCAAAACTAACAAGAATGACAAGCCAAAGAAGACATTGTCCCTGCAGGCAGCAGGGATTCAATTCCCCTGGATGCCCTCTGAGACACTGTGTAGGATGATGCCCAAAACTATCCCATTGAGGAA